CAGGGGGCTTCTTCCTGCTTTCCCTTTCGCCTCCCTGCATTGTGCCTACATATGCAAATTAACCTCCATTTTTGTTGTCAGTTAACTGCCATCTGACTTGGCAGTTAATTTGCACATAGCCCTGATTAGCCAATGAAAAGGGTATCGTCGTACACCAATTACCATTTTTCTCTTTTATTATATAGGATATATATTCTTTTTATTCATTTATCTGTCGATGGACACTTGTTTTGTTTCCATACCTTGGCTAGTGTTAATAGTGCTGTAGTGAATATGAGAGGGGAGATTATCTCCTGCTCATTCTCTTCTATCTTTTATTTCACAAAATAACCAGAAATCTAGAAGTACAGTAAATCTGATCACCTCCCTGGACAATGTGTCCCATATAAAGTCAATACCCAAGTTCCACTAATGTACTCTCAACCCTTTCATTCATGCTGTCTTCTCCACCTTGACAGCCACACCATGATTCATTTCTTCCCTCATACATGAACTCCAACAGTGGCCTCCTAACTGGCTTATCTCTCCTTAGTCTTGTTCCATGAAATTTTATTCTTCACATTATCACCAGGTTTCTACTGAACATTCATGTTTATTGTGTCTCAGCACTGTTTAAAACACTATTGTGTTTTTTTCTATGTTAGCAATAATCATCAAGAAATGAAAATGGTGAAAATAGTCCTTTAACAACCATAACAAAAAATATATATAACACTTAGAAATAAATTTAACAAGAAATGTACAGGAAAGAGTAAATCTGATTGAAGAAAATTCTTTAAAATCGGAAAAAAATGGAAATAGCATCATGTTATTGGATAGAAAGAATTGTTAGGCTGTAAATGTCAATTTCATCAATATCAATAAATATATTTCAAATCCTACAAAATGTTCACAGAGATTTAAATTATTATTATTTTGAAATTGACAGAAGTATCTTAAATTTATAAGAAGTATTTTTGCAAATAACAAATGAAAAAGCAAGAATAATGAAAAGAAATTTACCTTAATAAATATTTAAACCATTATAAATATTCTATAATGTAAAAATGGCATATTTATATGAAATAAAAAATCAGTGGTATCTAATGAAAAATCCAAGCACAGATCAGATGTCATTTGAAAATTTAATATATGACAGGAGTTCTATTTTATTAAACAGTGCTCATACATTCACTATACATCGGAAAGAAAAAATTGGATTCCTCTTACACCCTAAGTAAAATTAAAAGTAAATTCAGATGGATGAGGAACTTTCAAGGAAAAGACTATGTAGTGAGAACTATAAAAAATATGTATCTAAAAAGAAGTGGGAAAGACCATAATCAAGAGTGGAAAACCAGAAATTATATAATAAAAAAAAATATTTTTCTATAAAAAGTATAAATTTTATATGAAAAATATTTACTATATAAAGACATTAGATTAATTTTAAACATTTGAATTGTAGAATGCCAAGGATAAAGAGAAGATCCACAAAGTTCTTTGAAAGTAGAAATAACAATATTATTTACAAAGAGTCAAGAATTGCAATTGTTTTGGACTCTATCACAACAAAATCAAAAACAAAATATAACATTTTAAGTGGGCAATGTTTTAAATATAAATTTTATGCCAACTAAAGCAGTAATCATAGGTGAAGGTAAAATATAGTTATTCCAAGATAGGAAAAGTATCTCAAAAACTACCTTTTCATAGGAAAATACAGAAGGATTGTCTCTACAGAAATAGATACATAAAATAAAAATAACTGATAAAAGGGGAGCATGGATAGAGTATAAAAATAAATGAAAGACGACAGACATCTTCAGAATGATGGTTTATAGAACCACTAGCCTGGAGAACAATTATCCAATTATTTGGATGAGGCTGCTGAGGAGACTTGAACTGAAAGATTATTAGACACTTTCACCATGTGGAAAATTGTACCAACCTTTTAGAAGATATAGGAGGAGGTAGAAACAGGTTCAAAGAAATCTAGACAACTATAATGATAGCAAATGAAATCTAGTAACATAAAGTAGGATATTGTATTATGAACAAATAGGTTTCATCTTAGAAATGAGAGGTGGGTTGAACATTCATAAATTTGTAAAAGCAATTTATCAATATGTAATATTATTAATTTAATAATTTGACTAGTTTACTTTTATTTGATTCACAATATCAACAAGCTAAAACAGAAGATACACAATTATCTCAATTGAAGCAGAACATGATTTTAGAAAATTCAACATACATTTATGATAACAAGTCTCAACAAACTAGGAAAAGATGGACATTTACTCAAATTGATAAAGGGCACCTGTGAAAAACCTGCAACTATCATTATATCTAACTAGAGGCCCAGCGCATGAATTCATGCATGGGTGGGGTCTGGCCGGTCCGCCCTGATGGGGACCAATCAGGCCAGGCCATTGCGGGGAGGGCTATGGGAGGTTGGCCGGCTGGGGAGAGGCCGCAGGAGGTCAGCCGGCTGACTTTGCCCCTGACCAAGGTGGGGGTCAATTAGGAGCAGGGCTGGCCACGGGGAGGGGCCTCGGTAGGTTGCTGGGGCCAATTGAGGGCCCAATCAGGCCGGTTGACCACTGCAGTGCATGTCCTAGTGAACGATTGTTTCAGTCGTTCCTCCATTTCTACAACTTGGCTTTTATATATATAGATGCTTTACCTTTAACATTGGAAAAGAGGATAGGAGACTGGAGGGCAAGTTCCCTCATAGAAAACTTTTAGACGGACTTTAGTATTTTAAATTTGGTGGTACTCTGTATATGTATGAAATGTATTACTTTAGTAAATATAAAATTTAATTTAAAAATAGTGCTATGGTTTATAAACACAAAATAAAGTAATAAACCTAGGAAAGTGAGCTGTATTTTGCCTACATGTTAAAGTGCTTTGAGTCTGGTGTCTTTATGTTTAATCTGGAATTACCATTTCAGCATTGAGTCCTTACATTTAAGCACTACATACTTATTAAGCTAGTTTTTACAAAAATCTACAACATGTAAGAAAGGTCAATCAGTTCCCAAAAAAAGTGGAAGTGAGTCCACATGAAATGAAGTGATAAAAGCCAAAACCAAGGCCCTTGTCTATACAAAGGGTCCAATCTGGTTAGTGAGAAAATATGTGAAAAATGACATTGCCAAAACAACGTAGGAAAATAAACCTGTTCTTCCCCAGCTGTCACTTCGGAAGATAGCTGACAAGCTGGTCCACACCATGTTGTTTGATGGGTTACACTTTAATAGATTATCCTCCTCAGGAATGTGTATTTTAATAAGTAAAAAAGACTAAACCAGTGGAGTGATAAAGGCAGTATTTTAAGCATCTACACAGATTTGTAGAAGGAACTTTAAGGGGCTTGGGAGTTTGCTGGCATCACCAGGTTAAACAAGTAGATAGAGTTCTACCTAGCCTGGCATCTATATCTTGGTAAATGTGTCTGAACTAGATGAGTTAAAAACTGAAAAACAGTCCACCTACTTTTCTGTGGTCCAGCTCCTGTAAGTTTATTCCACTGTGAAATCCAGCATAACCAATATTTCATTTTCAATTTCAACTTGCAAATTACTTCTATAAGAGGAATGTTACAAGAGGTAAGTGATATGTTTTGAGAGCAACTGAAAAGTCTCAAGACCTAAAATTTCCAGCTTCTGCAATCAAGTTGTTCTTTCCTTAATCCATGCAGAGCAAGGTATTTTCAGTGTAATGCAGGTAATTTCATTCATAATCATGAACTGTGTGTTTAAGCAATCAGTTCTATGCATAATTATTCATTCTGGATGAAAACCTGTGCCTAGCTTTTCTGAGGGCATGTGCACATGTTTTCAAAACCAATCATAAATGCTTTAAAACTTGGTTCTGGACTATCTGCCCATCAATTAACATGATGGATGGGTATAGAGTTGGTTCTTGGAAGCAAATAGGTTGGAGGGAGCAGTTACTATGGGAGAGGAGTGGGGCTTATTTGTAGTGCGCACAGTGTGTGACTACTACATGCCTATGTTAACAATAATGCTCATTAATTCTTTGAGATCGAGTACCCACCTGCATTATATCCAATCCTCTGACCTCTGCAACATACTCCCCACACACCTCAAGAGCATTCTGAAATGGCCTGAATGAGTCCCAGCTATATGCAACAGTTTCCTGCCTATAGCTTCTGGGGCTATTGCTACCCACCAGGCTCTACAGGGAGTCCCCTTGGTGATTGGGAATTTACCCCTTTTGCCAAATCCTAAAATATCTTCTGTGGCTTGGTCATGCTTCTGATATTCCTCTGAAAAAACACTGACTACCACTGGGTGCTGCACCTCCCTCACCACCGAACATCTTAAAACAGCAAACACCTAAAAAGCCAAAATGATGCTACCTCCTTTCTTTTTTCTTTCTTTTTTTTTAAAAAAAATATATTTTATTGATTTTTTACAGAGAGGAAGGGAGAGAGATAGAGAGTTAGAAACATCGATCAGCTGCCTCCTGCACATCCCCTACTGGGGATATGCCCGCAACCCAGGTACATGCCCTTGACCGGAATCGAACCCGGGACCGTTCAGTTCACAGGCCGACACTCTATTCACTGAGCCAAACCGGTTTTGGCAGCTACCTCCTTTCTTTCCAATATTCCCTGCACTGGAGCCGTGCTGTGTTCTGTGAGGAAGAGCAAAGTGCCCACCCCTAATCTGTGCCATTTCATGAGATTGTGATCAAAAGCAGTTCTTTCTCTTGGCTCAAGAGAAGATGTCACTCATCTTGTACCAAATTCACACCTGCTGTTCCTCTTCAGCTGACCTCCCCACCCCAATAATTGTTATCACCATTCTCTCAACCATTCAGATCAAGACTCTTTGAAATCTCTCTTCCAGTCCGCACATCAAATGATCCAAAAGATTCCACTGACTTCAAAACATTATCTGCAAAATCTCCCCTACTTATCTTGCACTCATTTGTTCACTTACTAAAAGCATATTTCTTGGAAAGCAACCTTAGGTTAAACTGTAGGTTGGCACTGTATTGAAATTTTATAATGATGTTATTTCTACTTAGGATGTTGACCTTTTGCCCATTCCAGAGACCTCATGCCTAGCAGAGGTAGAGTTACTTTCTTCTGAATTCTGACATTACTTTTCTTGTCATCTGGCATGTATTACTTATTGGTTTATATTCTGTTTATGTCCATCTCTCATTTCTCCTAACAGGATGAAGGTTCTTTTAATGACAGAGGTTAGAGCTTATTCATCTTTTATTTCACATGCCACACAGTATATAAACCAGGTCTCATACTCAATTTGTTGATTGCATGAACAATTTCTTTTATCAGCAATACATCCCTTGATGTATAGCAAAAGTGACTGAATGGAAATATTTGTCATGTAAATCCTATTTTTTATTGACTCCTATTATGTAATTAAAAATATGCTCCCATTGGGAAAAGCAGTAATACACAGGAAGAAACTGGTGAGAAAGGCGGTGACTAGTTCCATGAAATACTAAGCACTGCACACAAAAGACAAGTCTAGAGGCTATTGGTCTTCTCTAGTTATTTTTATCTCAGGACACCTAATTCAATAAGTAGTTGGTGAATAATGAAATGGAAGAGTGTCTCCATCCCATTGTAGAAGTCTATTTTTGTATTTAAACTGTTATTTTAAGTGGGGTGACTGCACCAACATATCCAAGGGACAAAAGTAAAAGCTAAACTATTAAAAAGTCCAACCAAGAAAAACTCTGTTGCTCTCTCATCCTACATGTCACAGTCTGTGATGACACAATCATACTTGAGGTAGAGGGAAAATATGGTTTAAGGCAAATTACATAAGGCATTCAGAAAAAATTAATTTCTATCTATTCACTACCCAATCTGCCATCTTTGTTTTTGATACTGGAACTCCAGATCACCCATTTAATCTTGCCTTCTATTATATGCTCTGCTCAAGAATAAAATATTCTCTCCAGATCCCCCTGTAAGCATTTGTTACCTTAGGTTTCAGGGAATTTCCTCCAGCTTTGAATTCCTATAGGGTTTTCCTCAATTGTAGAACACTTCATTGTCCAGGGGCACACATAGCCAGTAATGTATGTAATAAGTGAGGGTATAAAGGTCTGGTTATTTTAGTCCAATCTGGGGCAACGTTAACAGGCTGTATATGATCCAGAGCCACGGCCAAGTTTTCATCTCTAGCCTGCACCTAACTTAACTTTCACACCTGCCCAATCTGGCTTTTTCTCTCTCTCTTCCATAGGTGTTGATTCTTTATAGATACCTAATGCCTTAAATTATTACTAAATCTCAGTTATTTATTCTAGAGTAAACAATCTGCAACAATTAATATCAGTAATGACCCAAGAAACTAAAATATAAGATGGGGTTTTGAACCCAGGTTTCCTACTGCCGGATTGGCAATGAAAACCTTATCACTGGTGAGGCATATAGAGTTTGGGCACCAATTGGTGAACCAGTTGGTTAAAACTTTCACCATGCTATCCTAGTAGAAGAGTCTGTACCTCCTGATGGATACAGGTGAGATCTGGGAAGGGACACTGGCACATGTAGTGGGTGACATGGGAGTCAAGGTCACCTGCTCCTATATGTGATTTAATTAAGCCAATGTTCTATCTCAGTTTTGCTCTAAAAGTAATGAATGTGGTCGTGGATAAGACCTCAAGGGACAGAGCTGATTACACCATGACCTTGACTTACTTCAGAGTCCTTAAATTTCTGGATCCAACTGAACACGAGCAGCCTCTAAGTTACCCAAGTTATGGTCTGGAGCAATACTCCTAGATGAAGAATGTGGTGGCTGCAGAACCCAGCAAAGTCAAAAAGGCACTCAGGCCATAGATCTCTACAACTTCATAGTTTATCTTCCAACCATGTGTCTTACCAAGACCTCTAGTGTACAAGCCTTCCCTTGCTTATCCTGTCCAATTAGCTTAATGTCATTGATGTAATGGGTCAAGCTGATATTATATGGTAAAATATAATGCAGTTCAGATCTCCTTAGACTGTATAATAACAAAAACAGAGTTAGACAATATTATGTAGTTAAGATCTCTTTAGACATAATTATGACAAATATGGTCAAAACTACAAATAAATAGTAATGTGCATTCCACTTGAATGCAAACTGTTTCTGGTCAGTTTTCTAATCTTAATAGCAAAGAATGCAAAATCATTGGGTGCATTTAATGTACCCGAGTCTTTAGTTTACACTCTCATTCCCAGCATAGCAGCTATCCAGCTACTTGTTTGTTGCTTGCATTATTCTAAAGTCATCTTCCAGAATCACTCAGTTTCTACAGACTGTCCAGTCTTTGTGGTTAAATGAATATATTATAGGGACCACTGTCCCTACAACATTAAAGACTTTAATGGTGACACACATCACTGCCACCACATCATCTTTCTCCCAGGATGCCGTGTTTTTTATTTACTCTTTCAGCTGGGAAGGGAGCCAGTTTCTGAGGTTTCCACTTGGCCTTTCCTGCTATGATAGTTTTTAATTTATAAGCTAAGGGCCCTGTAGGAATTGTTCCAAACTCCAAGTATACCAACCTCAGTTATACACTTGTAGACTGAGCAATAACCAAAGTGTAATTCTTCTGGCAAAACAAAACAAAACAAACAAATAATCTCAGGTATGTTTTTTTTTTAAATATCTTCCTATATCCTATGTTGCCTTCATATTTAAAGAATATTTTCCATGGGAACAGCATTCATGCTTATCAGCTATTTTCCTCTTTTGCTTTAAAAGTAATGTTTCATTAACTTCTGATTCACTTCACTAAAAACTAGCTGTATATCTTACTGTTGATCATTTTATGTCCTTTTTCTCTTGATGATTTAAATATACTATCTTCGACTTTGATTTTTTGCAGTTTGACTATGATTGCCTTGGTGTACATGGGTTTTTTTATTTCTCAAACTTAATATCCCTTTAAGATTCCCATTTAGAAATGCACGATATATTAATCTCAGCTGCTCGGTTGCTGTCAGCAGGCTCCTCTGACCTGCCAGTCCTTTTAGGAGATGGCCTTGGTTGAAGAGAGTCTCCATAGCCAAGATTATGCCACTTTCTCAAAGATACCCACATCTGATGACCTATACAGTGTCTTTGAAGAGCTCTGAAATATCATTGTATCTTTAGCCCCCCACTCCTCACATACTCTGGGTCAGCTTAGATTTCTAGAGAGACTCTATCACAGCTCACATCTCCCTGTACTCAGGCCTGCTTTTTTCCCTTTACTTTCTCAGTGCTGATCCCAAATACCCTTTGAAATAAACCTCCTATATGCTTCCCTGAGAACCCAATCTGTAATAATTGGTGTGAAGAGCATTCTGCCAAAGCAGGAGTTAGAGTAAGGTTTTGGAATTGGATCACCTACTATTTGGGTAGCAATGAGGAACTCCTAACTTGTGGTAGGTGAACAAAGATGGTCTCTGGCACAGGTAGTAGTCCAATTGAGTTAGTTTTCACCAATACTCAACTAGACTGGTATACCAGTAGAAAGGAATGATATACCAAAAAATTGGGAAATATTAGAACAAATTGGCATTGGCAGGACAAAGGACTAGCTAGCTATA